CTATCTCTCTGCCTCTCTCTCTGTCTCTCCCTATCTCTCTGCCTCTCTCTCTGTCTCTCCCTATCTCTCTCTATCTCTCTGCCTCTCTGTCTCTCTCTATCTCTCTGTCTCTGCCTCTCTCTCTGTCTCTATCTCTCTGTCTCTGCCTCTGTCTCTGCCTGTCTCACGCAGAGCACTCACACACACTGCACCCCCTCTTATACCTGCACACCTCCACATACTGCACACACGTGCTCAATCATATACATGCCGACGTGGCCATATGCACACACACATGCGCACATGCAGATACAAATGTACATGTCTCCCTGTGTGTACACAAAACACACAGTGTACACACATGTACACAGACATACACGTGTACCCGTGCTCCTGCACACACACACCCCCAGGTGGCATGGGTGTGGCCAGGGCCTGGTCAGGCTACCAGGTAGGGGGCGTTGACTAAAGGAAACACAGGTGACCCTCGCTGGGGGTGCCAAGCCCTCATCTCCGCCCCCACCCCCACTTTTCTGCCCGTTTGGAAAACACGGCACCACGAGGAACCTGGGACGCGTCCCCCTTACAGGGCTGCAGACATTCTAGGGCCTGCGGGTCTCAGCGCTGACGGGCCACCCCTCTGTGCCCACCGGGGGCTGCATCCGCGGAGGGTGCTGAGGCTTCTCCAGGGAGGTGAAGTCTGTGTCCCTCCCCTTGACTCTGGGGCTCTGCGACTGCTTCTGCAGCTTCCCCCCGGCTGTCCCGGACCCTCGCTCTGGAACCCGCCACCAAGCTGTGCGGAAGCCCGAGCAGCCCACGAGGGAGACACGAGGGGAAGGATTGGGGGTGCGCAGCCGCGGTTGCACCAGCTCCAGACTGCCTGACCGATGGCGTGGGAGACCTGGAGACTGGACCACCTGGCTGAGCCCTCTCCAAATTTCTGACCCTCAGAAACCATCAGAGAATATGATGATTGACAGAAAATAAAACAGATTCGATTGCAGGATCCCTCGGGCGCCAGGCCAAGGGGTTGGAATCGCTTCCCAGCTCGTGGGACGGAGAAGGAGAGAATTTGCAGATCTGGGGGTCGGGGGAGGTCGCTGTTCCACCGAGAGAGCCCCAGGACAACCCTTGGTGGCTCAGGGCACAGGGTAGTGGGGACACCGG